TACCCATAAATATCTTTTAATGGTAGATACCATCTAAGAATTATGGTAATCTATATTTTCAATACTAACATGTATAACACGAAGCTTTAAATTTAAAAGTACAATTTAAAAAAGATTACAATAAACTATTTACTTATAAAATTTTTAAAAGAATTTATTTATACTCAATGTCTACTTAGACATTTTGAAAAGATTACGATTTTGAAAACTTGAAATTTTAAATTTTGATAAACTTAAACTTTAATTTTACCTTAAAGAAAACAGATATATATTGAAAAATATTTTAATTTCTTTTTAAAAATTTAATAATGCTTTTAAACTTACTCTCTCCAATATTATTATATAATATATAAAGTATATATGATAAACAAACCTCCACAATTCCCTTGGTTTAACAACTCGATTATGATTTATAACAACTATGTAAACATGAATTTTCTTATAACCTAAATAAATTATAAACAATTAAACTTAAATAAAAGTGTATGCAAATGATAAATGTTATATTAAATACAGAAAGACAAACATAAAACAACACAATCAAATCGGAAAACAAAATTTATTCGTGCAAAACAAATTAATATATATATTTATTTAATAGCGAAAAGCATATTTTTTTTTAAAGAGCAAGAGTATTTAACAATACTTAAGATAAATTTTATTTATAACAAAATTTTCAATAAAAATTAAATTAAGATAAATTTATAACAAAATGTTTTCATGGCTTTTATCCCAATAACCAAAACTATGTGAAAACATGAAACTGCCCATAAATATATTTTAACGCTAGACAGAATCTAAGAATTAAAGTAGTCTATTACACGAAGCTTTAAATTTAATGCAATTTTAAAAAAGATTACAAGACATTTATTACTTATAAAATTTAAAAAAGATTTTAGATTACCTATAATTTTAAATTACTAAACATTATCTACTTAATGTCAACTTGGACATTTTGAACTCGTACCATGAAAGGTGAAAGAAAATCTTTAAGAACGCACGCGGTAAAGAAAAGTCTAGAAACTACTTAAAAAGTGTATTTTACAGATACAGAACCGTACCGTAACTATAAAACAATACGCGTAACTATGCGCACTAATAATATTCACTGGAAGAATTATATTTAGACTAGCAGTAAGCAACCCGTAATACGGGTTATTAGTAGTTAAATAATTGCTTACAGTTAACAACAAAAAAGACTACGTTATCATCAGTTAAGTTCTTTTTAAAATCTGTTACAACACAGCAAGTACCATAAAAAGAAAGTCAAGTAAAGCCTCCAATGCCTAAAAAAAGGAACGAAAAATAATTACAATTTTTAATTACAAAGTATTATTTGCATTTTATTGTTGGTAGAATGAAGATATAAAGACTTAAAAAAATTGCTGTAATAGCCCAGTTCTATCAACACAAAACACATTAACAACAGCGCATAGCATAAGATATTTGTAAGCACACATTACTGTCTCTCCAAATTGATTAAAAAAGAAAATACTATATAAAGGCTAGACAACTTAACGTAGTAAATAACGTAATAACGTATGGCACCATAAATTAAGATATTTTATCAACTAAAATACTTGAGCTAAAAAGATTTTATTAATTACAATATTGAACAATTTTATCATAAAATACCAAGCAGCTTATAAAATTTTTTATATACATGGTCATTATCAATTGTGGCATTAATAAAACTTATATAATTACTTTTATTTTAACTAAAAAGTATATAAGTTTTATTGATGCTCCATGTACTTTTTCTCTTTTAACTTTTATCTAAGAGTAAACAAAATTATTTTTACCTTTATTATGAAAGGTTCCAGCTTCTCTTTAACTGTCAACTAATGATTAATAGAGTAAATTTCATATCATTAAATGTACAAAATTAAAACCATGTTTCAACAGTAAGCAAACTAATCAAGTGATAACAAAGGCAACTAAAAAAAAAAGAACATAATTACGTTTGAATTTATAAAAAAATTTAAAATCATTTAAATTTAAAACTATTTGATTTAAATTGTTTTAAAGTGTTTAAAAGAAAATGTGATAAGATTGTGATAAGACCTTGAGGACTTCTGCTCTAAGAAGTCCTCAAGGTCTTATCACAGAGCACCGTGGATAAGCATTTAATAGGAAGTTCACGCCTTCTTATTAATGTAAATAAATTTTTATTTTTATTTTTCGATAAAAGTTGTCTATCAAAAATAAAAATAAAAATTTATTTACATCAATAAATTGTAATTTAACAAAGAATCTAGACAACAATACATAATCTAAAAATGTAAAAAATGAAGTAATATCACTCAATATATTTTACTCCAAAGTAATTAAAAAAAACCTATAAACCTATTAAATCTAATAAAAATCTTAAATAAAAAAATATAGCAAACTTACTAAAATCAGTACCAGTTCTACTGCCAAAAAAACTTTTATTATTAACCATTCTTATAGTAATAAAAAAATAACAACAAAGTGATCTGAAGTTACTAAAAATCACTTCACCTATTTTTTTGTTTAGGTTAATTGTCCAACTAAAAGTCTATAACTATAATACTGAGATAATGTAACATGATTTCTAATCAATGTTCAGGGTTGTGAACCAATTTGATTGTAGCACGTTCAGGGTTGTGAACCAATTGATTATGCCAACCAGCATCAACCCTTAGAAAAAATGGAGAACAAACCATAGGCTCTAAAATTTAGCAGACATAATTGATATATTTTAAGAGGATGACCTCTTGGGAAAATAACAACTTTACTGGAAGTAGGTGGAGCACCATCTTTACCAAAAATACAACTGCAACTTCATTATGTGAAGAGAAATTATAGTGACGTCTATCATGCCCTTTTTTCTCCCTATTTCAGTTCAAAGTATTTGCTGCTTGCCGAGCAGGATAGCATTTGGTTGATTATTAATTTCATCCTGCCTCAGCCTATTTCTTGCAATTCTGTGACGAATATTTTCAACTTTCCTAATCACACTGTCCTCATTTTAATTCAAATTATTTGCAGCTTGCCATGCAGCATATCTGGCATTTTGTTGATTATTAATTTCATCTCGCCTCAGCCAATTTTGCATTTCTGCGACGATTATTTTCAACTTGCTTATTAACATTTTCATCATTTTCTAAACTAATAGCCACTTCTAGCCTAATATCATCCATTTAAACTTCACTTTTAATTGATAGTAGTAACAAAAAATCTGGAAAGAATCTTGAAGTTTGTGATTTTTTTTTTTTACTTCTCTAAATTGCACACACACAAAGAATAATTTTTAAAACATTACATAGGAAATGAAAAAATATTAGTAAAAATTTTTTAAAAATTCACAAAACTTAACAAATTTAGTTCTTCTATACTACATAAATACATCATTTGATAAATAAAAAATGTAACAAATAAGTAAATAAGACAAAAATTACATACAAAAAAAAGAAATCTTTGTACCTAATAAAGCTGATGTGATTTACCAAAATTAATAGTTGTAGGCTTTTAGTGAATCTAAATATTACTTTTAGTGAATGATTAAATGCAGTGAGGTCTAATAATGAAATTAACTATGTATAATTTTTAACAGTAGACAACAACTTGAAGGTAAACCAAATGTATATCAACTCAAAAGATTACAAAAAAACAACATCACAACAACAATAGCATTCACCATAAGTTTATACAATATCCATATAACATAACTTAAGAAACATAACATTCATATATAACAGAACATCAGTAACAACATTACGCAAAATGTTATTAAAATACATTATGTATTTTCAGAGTAATTATTAATAAAGGCTTGAAAACACCTATACCTAAAGCAGTAACAGTTTGACACGAAACACTGCTTTGTAACCCTTTGCAGTAAGTGACTTGGCTGGCTAGGTTGATAAAACTTGCTTTACACGTTTACCAATTCACAGCACTTTGAAAACATGGAAATAACATAATATAAACATATAAACCAACTATAAACACTTTATATATATATATATATATATATATATATATATATATATATATATATATATATATATATATATATATATATATATATATATATATATATATATATATATATATATATATATATATATGTATATATATATATATATATATATATATATATATATATATTTATATATATATATATATATATATATATATATATATATATATATATATATATATATATATATATATATATATATATTTACATACATATTTAAACATATTTAAACACATTTAGTATAACTTTTTTGTTGCTTAAAAAATAATTAAACCTTATCCATACCTCTATCTTCCTTCTAAAAAATAGAAGATATGCTCAATAAAAACAAAACTGCTAGAAAAAAATAAAGCCAAAAGAAAATCTAAAACAATCAAAATGTAAATGATTTACAAAAAATAAAAGAAGTGATCCTTTCTACTTAATTTCTAATAAAAATGTTATATATAAATTGCTAAACTAATTTCTACACTTACTTCAATTATAATATGATGATTATTTATAATATATATAAGTTTATTTATTTATAATATATATAAATATAATTATTTATAATATATATAAATTATAATATGATGATTATTTATCTTTATAGGATTCTTTAAGTAAACAAAATCAAACGCAGTTTCAAATTTTATATATATATATATATATATATATATATATATATATATATATATATATATATATATATATATATATATATATATATATATATATATATATATATATATATATATATATATATATATATATATATATATGATAGAAACCTCTACAATTTCATCTGTTTAACAACTGAATTATGATTTATCACAACTCTGGAAAATTTTATTTTAATTTAAGTCTAAATAAATAAACAAATTACAAATAGAAATGGTAGGAAATGCTTACTGCTAGTATTTTTAGCATCTTAATAACTAAACAAAATAAACATAAATAAAAATGTAAGCAAATGTTTACTGCAAATAAACAAACTACAATATCATAAAATAAAATAAACAAAAATACAATATCAAGTTTATATTTATGAACAAAATTCATTTATATCCTGTAAGTTACATTAAATAAAATATTTATTGAAAAGCCATAAAAGTTTGCGTGAAACAAAGTCAATAGTAACAAACAAATAGTAAATAAAAATAAAAAATTGTTAGGGCATCAACACACAACAAATCTGATACAAACGTTTAAAAAATAAATACAGCTTAATCTCCTTATTAAATATAAAAGCTTGCCTCGTGTAATTTTAAAAGTTTCAAAACTGTTTGCATTTGAGTATTTTACAGAATACAGAACCGTTACTAATATCGAACAATAGTAACTAACGGCATTGAACATTAAACATTGAACATTGAACATTGAACATTAAACATTGACTTCTAGCAATTATATTGTAGATTATAAATTTTTTTTTTTTTTATATTTATACTGTGCGACATTTCAAATGTTTGATATATTTAATAAAGAAGACATTTAAAATGTCTTCTTTATTAAATATATAAAACATTTAAATGTTTTATTTATTTAATAAAGATTATTAAACAAATCAAACATTTAAAATGTCAATACAGCAATAAGTATAATAAAATAAATTTAAGATATTACACAAAAATAATTTAGTTATTGCCTTTATTATTGCATTAATAATTTAGATTGTAGTAAAAAATGCTTTAAGCATATTATTTAAATGTTAACAAATATTTCATTATTTAAAAAAACAAAGCATTAAGTCACGAGAATCTTTTCAAATTTATTTCTTATAAGGAGTCTTTTAAGATTTATAGAAGATTTATATATAAAGCCTCTTTTTTTTTATTTTTATAATTGAAAACAATGGAAAGATAATATCAAATCCTTTTTTTATTTAGTCAAGCGATACCATTTTAAAAAATGTCATGCAACAAATTTAAAAATATATACTAATCCGGAACTACATTGGCCGAATATTCGATAAGGCATAAATGTAAGAACATATTTTTATAGCGAAATATTAAGACTAAACTAAATTGGACAAATGTTGGCCCAACGTAGTAAGATATTTGCAAAACACCGATTTGTAGAATTACAATATGACGCCAAAAAAAAAAACATTGGCTAAATGTTGTATATATATATATATATATATATATATATATATATATATATATATATATATATATATATATATATATATATATATATATATATATATATATCAAATATATAAATATATATCATTCTGAGTGCAAATTTTGATATCATAATGTTATCAAACTTGAGCTCAAATTCATATGACTGTGTGATTTCATTTTGATCTTATAGATCTCATAGTGTGAGATCAATTTGATATAATTATGAAATCAAATGGCTGACTGGGCTGATTCATGTAATTTTCAATATTTCTAGAGGTCTGTTAATCGTTACCTTGTTTTGGAAAATTCATATTTTTCTATTCTAATACCACAAACTGCGCATGGTTGAAGTGATCGGACGTGTTTTTGCAGCGTGGAATTATTTGTTATTTTGATTCTTTTTATTTTTTATTTTTTTTATTTTATTTTTTTTTAACAAACTACTACTAATAATAAATTTTTGATATGGATACTAAAAGTATTGAAGTACTTGTTGCTGGTTTACTTGAGAAACATAAAAATTCCAACTTAGATGAAACAAAAAAACTTTTAAAAAAACAAGAAAAGAGTTTTGCATCCTTAACAGCTGCAAACTTTAAAATGTTAACAGAAAAGCTGAATGAATATGAAAAAGATAATATAAATAATCTTCAAAAGATTAGCAAAATTGAAAATGATTTAGAGATAACAACTAAAAAAGTAATCTCTCTTGAGGCTGACTTTACGGAATTAAAGAAATACATAGCGACCAGTGATCAAATTGCTACTGAGAAATTCGAGGTAGTAAAAAAGAAAACTAAAGAAATAAATAGTAAATTAAGGGATAAAATTGAGTTATTAAAGGTAAAAAGCAAACTAAGAGAAATTGAAGGTAGATCGAGAAGGAATAACCTGAGAATCGACGGTTTAAAAAAAAATGATAATGAAAGTTGGAGCAATGGTAAAGAAAAAGTGTTGAAGCTATTTGAAGAATCACTTGGACTTAAAGAAATTAAAATTGAAAGGGCTCACAGAACTGGAATCAGAGACGGCAAAAAAGTAAGATCTATAGTACTAAAATTACTAAATTATAAAGATAAAGAAAGAATCCTGAAAAATTCTTCAAAATTAAAAGGCAAAAACATATATATAAATGAGGATTATTGTGCGGAGACGTTACAAATAAGAAAAGAATTACGGATGGAAATGAAAAAAGCTCGAGAAGGTGGGAAATTCGCGTTTATATCATACGACAAGTTGATTGTACGAGAATGGTCTCCAAAAGAAAAGTAAATATTTTATGTTTCTTCTAGCTTAACGGTATCTTTTATTTTTCCTTTTTTTTATATATATGATTTAGATTGTTATTATATTCTACTTTTTTAAAAATGGATGATAATCTTTTATTAAATTTGAATACTAAGAGTGATGATGACTATTTCAATAAAAAAAACTTTGAAAGCGAGTATTATTCAATCCGTGAAGCTACTCATTTTTTGTGTCAAAAAAATAAAATAAATAGTTTTTCAATTTTAAATTTAAACATTCGAAGTATCAATAAAAATTTTGATAATCTAAAATTATTATTGCATGATCTAAATCATGATTTTCAAATAATTACTCTCACGGAAACGTGGTTGGAAAGCAATGAAAAAAACTTTAATTATGAGCTAAGTAATTACGTTTCAGTCCACCAACCGCGTCAAAACCACGCTGTCGGTGGTGGTTTAAGTATCTTTGTTCACAAATCTATTAACTTTGAATTGCGTAACAACCTCAGCGTTAACGAAACAGATTGTGAGTCGTTATGCATTGAAATAAATAATAAAGCGACCAAAAATATAATTATTAGTTCTATTTATAGAAAGCCATCTGGTAATTTAAAAAAGTTTCATACCTATCTAAAAACATTTTTAAGCAAAATTAACATTACAAAGAAACACGTGTACTTAACTGGTGATTATAATTTAAACTTGTTAAATCATGCTTCAAATCTAAATGTTCAATGCTTTTTAGATACACTTATACAATACGATATCATTCCCCTTATAAATAAGTTGACGAGAATAACTAAGACTTCGTCGACCTTACTAGATAACATATTTACTAATAATTTTCATAATTGCCCTTTAGAATCGGGTATAATTAAAACTGACATAACAGATCATTACCCAATATTCTTAACTACAGATAATATAACCCTTAATCATTCTGTCTCTAAATCAACAATATCAATGAGACAAATCAATAAAAACTCCATAATATACTTTCGAAATCTTTTATCTGAAAAAACTAATTGGGATCTTATATTACAATCGCAAGATGTGAATAATGCGTATGAATTATGTTTGGCGCAGTTTTGTAAATACTATGTTTTGGCATTTCCAGTTATAAAAAAAATTATAAATCCTAAATCACTTTTAAACCCTTGGATGACCAAAGGTTTACTCCCCAGTGGGCACCCGACGTCAATCCGACGTCGGATTTACGTTTGATTTTCATCAGCGATGTCAAAAGACCTATTCCGACGTTGTTCCGATGTCAGTAAAATGACGTCGGGCGATGTCTTTATCTCAACATCCCCTGACGTCGTTTCGATGTATTTTGACGTTGTTCCGACATCTTATAAAAGACGTCCAAAAAACGTCGCAGTACTGACATCGATCCAACGTCGATAAAAAGACGTCGGGCAACGTCATAATATTAACGTACTCCGATGTCTTTTGACGTCTTCCGACGTCAATCCAACGTCCTTAAAACGACGTCGGAACAACGTCGTAAGACATCGCTGATGAAAATTTAATCCAAACCCAACAATATGTGTGCAATTGCGCTCTTCAATAATTATGTGAACTAAGCGTGTTTTTTTATTAATGGAAAAAAGTTTGAATAAAGGTTGATAAAACATCATGAGGTTTTGTATGATTATTAACATTTTCGAGTATACATTTTTTATAATATATAACTATTCGTTTTAATATTTATATAATATTTAAACAAAATTATTTCTTATCAAAGTAATAATTCCCAAATAGCTACAAGTATAAATTACTAAATAAACTCATCAATTAATATGTCCTTGTGGTGTAGTGGTAAGCGCATAGGATATAGTAACTAATAGACCGAGGTTCGAGTCCTGCCCAAGGCAGCGTTTATTAGTTTTCAAAAAACACGTTGGATTTACATCGGAATGCCGACGTCGCGCGATGTCAGTTTATCCGACGTCAAATAAC